TCCAGGTGTGAGCCACCACAACTGGCCCATCATCTCTGAATCTTAATTTACTTACCTGTAAAAATGGTTATAGTAGTTCTCTGTAAAGTTGTGGTAGGATTAGATGATATAATTTATATAAAAAGCAGAACAGTGTTTGGCCTATGAGTCTAATTGTTATTTCTCTCTGCTCGAGTCTTCCATAAATTATAACAGTTTATATTTAAGTACCTTCTACTCTGTGACAGGCACTATTGCATTTTACATGGATTAACTCATTTAATCTACATAAAAGCTCCACGGGATAGAAACTCTAAATCTCCCTGTTACAGATGAGAAAACTGCGCTACAGAGTGGTTTATGCAACTTGCTTGAGGCAACAACAGTGGGAAGCAGCAAAGCCCAAACCTGCACCCATCAGTTCCATCCCATTTCTGAGGAGGTGAAACAGTCATTGACTGTCTTTATTTTGATCCATGATAAGAAACACACTTGCCATTATAACCCGACACATGTGTACATATGACATATGAATGTATCTACAGTAGAAATAAGAGTCTCACAAAGTGATATTTACTCTTACAATGTAGCATGGTGATAGCTTCTCTTCATTTTAATTTTTTAAAATGTTTTTGACCAACTTGTTGATTGAATCACCTTTTAATGAGTCAAAAATGCACTTTTGAAAAACAGCTACCGCAATCTCTACCAGAAAAACTCTGATGGTTATTTGTCCAGACTTTTGTATTTCATTTACATTCCAGATGAAGTCCTTAACAGTCAGTCAGAACACTGACCCACTAAGACTCAGATCTACTCCCAACTGCAAACCCTTCTGGACTTACAGAAAGATCAGCTCTCCTCAGGTGAGAGTCGAGTCATTCTTTCACTCTCCAAAAATTATTTCTCTCTCTTAAAACTATGAATTTCAGCTACTCTATGTTAGAACCATTTATGTATTGTCTGTCTTTCCCTCCAGACCATCAGAAACAAAGGAGGGCAGAAATCATTTTGTTTTTTTGAGTTGGAGTCTCACTCTGTCGCCCAGGCTGGAGGGCAGTGGCAAGCTCACAGCCATCCCAGCGTCGATCTGCTGGGCTCCGGCGATCCTTCTGCCTTTCAAGTAGCCGGAACTACAGGTGCGCACTACTACGCCTGGCTCATTTTTGATTTATTGTGGAGGTCTCGCCAAGTTGCCCAGGCTGGTCTTGAACCCGCAGGCTTATGCAATTCATTTGCCTTGGCCTTCCAAAGTGCTGGGATTACAGGCTGAGTCACTGAGCCCTGCCTGAAACCATGTTTTATAAACACCTTTGTAGCCCCAAATAGTGACTTGATGTGAAACAGACAGAAGCTAGTTATGAGGAGCCATTAAGTGCTGGGTGTGGCGTGAGACTCAAGCAAGGGAACACCCCTACATCCAGGCCTATGTATTCCTGCGTAAACATATGAGGCATCTTCCCACCGAGCCACTGTTGCCAGTGGTTTATAACAATCCTTCTATCTGGAAAGTCTGCATCAGCCATGCACTTAATTCCGCAACATTATTCCCATTCCCTTGTGGCATCTTCTGTATTTCAGTAGGCTAAGGGCATTTGCATTTCTACCTCTGGCAAAAGTTTCTTTCTGCAGATGCATATTCCCACGAAAACGCTGGCAATGGTTCCTGGATGAGTGGATGGATGTACATGAACATTTCCACCTGATCTCTCAATCTTGTCTTCTCTTTTTTTTTTGAGTTGGAGTCTCACTCTGTCACCCAGACTGGAGTGCAGTGGCCGCTCCCGGCCACCGCAGCCTCGACTTGCTGGGCTCCGGTGATCCTTCCTCTCAGCCTTCCAAGTAGCTGGAACTACAGGTGCGCGCTATCACACCCTGCTAACTTTTTGATTTATTGTAGAGATGCGGTTTTGCCAAGTTGCCCAGGCGGGTCTTGAACCCGCAGGCTCAGGCAATCCACTCACCTCAGCCTCCCAAAGCACGGGATTACAGGCTGAGACACCGAGCCCGGCTGTCTTCTTTAATGGGCTGGCACATGCACTAGTGTTTGTGTCTATAGACATTGTAAGGTACATATCTGAGGGCAGGCTATGTGCCAAAGTCAAATAAATAAAACAAAGAAAAAGCCCCTGACTTGGAACTCTCATTCGCAAGGCAGGAAATTCTTTCAAGAGGAAGCACCATGAGCTCTTCCGCCAAGCGATACTTCAATTCTCCACCCTCAGGGACAGCTTATCCTGGTGTTGTTATAATCCAGCAGATGCTGAGCAGTCAGGGAAAGGGAACAAACAACTAGGGGAAGTATTACCACCTGCTGATGCTGACTTTTACTAAACAAGACTAGCCACCAGCTGCAGAGATCCAAGCCAGTTTTTGGCTTTCTGGCTCTTTGAAAAAAACAAGAAAATACATAGCCATTCACAAATAGCCAAGAGGCAAAGGCAAGATAATGCACCCCGTGTACTCACATGGCAGGACTGGACATGGTGCATCGGTGGTTGCTTACCAAAACCCGTGTATTATTGGGGGCAGTGATGTTCATGCAAGAATGACAAGTCTGGGCCTCCCTTACAGCTAGCTATGGTCACATGCTTGAGTTCTGGCTAAACTAGTGAAAGTGTTGAGCATGACTTCTGGAAAGCTACCCCCACCCCCGTAGGGTGCCGACTCAGCGAGGCTTGCTCATTTTGCCCATGCCCTCTTTTCTCCATGCTGCTGGGAATTTCAAAGTGATGGCTGATGGTCCAGTGGCTGTTCTGGACCATGAAGTGACCCTGAGAAAGGAGCCATGCTGTGGTGCAGTCAGGAGCCCCTATACCAGTCTTGGACTGCCTAACTGGGGCATTCTTTTCTATAAGAGAGATACACTTCAATTTAAGAGTCCCCTGGTAATGACTGGCAATTATGCAACAGACACTTCCTAGCCTCCAAAGCGTGGCTGGTCCTGTGACCTAATTCTATCCTGCTAATAGCACAGAAGAGCCAAGACATGTGCTGTGTCAGAAGAGGAAACAAGCTGAAACAAAGCCAGCCTTGCCCGACGGCACCCACGTGGCACTTGGGAGTAGCAGGCTCTCGAGGCCAGGCTGCCTCACCCCCAGGATTTTAAAAGCATGGTGGAAATGGGTGATGCACTTTCTTTAAAAAGATTTGGATTGGTTGTTTTTATAGCAAGCATCTAAGCACAACTTGTCTGTCAAATGATCTATCCAGGGATTTCAGTGCTGGTGAATTTGAAAACATCCTTCAAGTTGCCTCCAGAACACTACTGCTACATTAAAATGACTCAGAACTCATTGTATTGTTGCAACATAACATTAAAAGAGCAGCATTCTCAAACAGGTGAAGATACATTTTGAAGAAGCAATTAGTAAAATGAACGGTACTGTTTTAAAGGCATAACAGATTTGATGATTAATGTCGAGGTGACAAAGTTTTTAAGAGGAAAAAGCAGAGGTAGTGCTTTTTTCATTACAATGCAAGTCAAAGTGAATCAGGTGGCTACAACACAAAAAAGTTTTAATGAGACAAACGTCAAGCAAGCATCTCAACTTCTTAAAAAAAAAAAAAGAAAATCTAAAAGTTTAATTACAAAAACACTTGTACAGAAAACTTGGCATTTCAACAGTTCCAAACACATGTACACAATTTTTTTCTAAAATTTGTCGGAAATAAAACATTTTGTCTCCCTTTCCTCAGCTGCTCCTTATGTTTTAATAAAAAAGAAAGAAAGCAATCTGTAATACTGAACAGGCAACGGTTTATGTCTTGAGAACAGTCATATCTATGAGTGTCCTAGGAAACATGAGTCAGGTGTTGCATGACCTGTAAGCTCACCAACTGCCTCCTCATTGAGTATGGAGAGGTGAACAGGAGGCACAGACCCTCTCTACAGCTCTACAGAGCCTGGCGGTTTCGTGGTAGGTGAACCCCAGTCACAGTCAGGTGTGTAGCTCCTGGGAGAGTCAGCATTTCAAAAGCAAGCTGCTTGTGTTGTGAAAAGGATTTCATACTAGGCTCTCTTGAGAGCTCCTGCATTCCTGAATATGCAGATGTTTCAAGTCACTGTCAGGTGTTTCATCAGTGATGATCTTGGACAAAGTTACAGCCTTTTCTGGCCACAAAAGCAGTGCTACCAAAGCTGCACGCAACTAAACACAAAGGAGAAATGGAGAAATACTGAGAGAAAGGAAGGACAGAGTGCATCTGTCAGAAGGAAGACAGAACTCTAGCACTGGCCTTGGGTGTCCCTCTGCCACAGACAGTGAGTTCCAGCATGGCACCCACAGGCAAGGGGTTGAAGAGAAGTGGCAGCAACAGGTGGGAGCCGGGAAGTAGGAAAACACGAGAAGCAAGGGAGCCGGCTAGGTTGACAGCAACAGATCACAATGGAGTCTTACTCTAAAGAATCGCCAAGGGCTGGTAGATGGGTTTCAGTGCATGGACATCTGATGTGTGTTCACACAGACATTTAAAAGATGTACTTTTTTCCTTTGGGCTAACGATGAAAACAGGAAAGGCAATGCTGAGAAGATAGCACGGTGCAACATTGTGATAGGGGCTTCTGTCCTCCATCCTGGCTTACAGGCACGTTGTGAGAGGGCCACATGCTTGTCTGCCTGCCTGCAGTGGCCTGGGGCCCAGATGATGTGCTCTGTATGCTCTGCTTTGGTTCCAAAGATCTCAGTTACAACCTTTTAGCCTTGTGCTCCAGAATATCAAAACCACCACAACAAAAACCAACCAACTAACCAAGTAACAAACCCTGAGGTAAGAATCAGAACCCCTCTTTCCTTCTGCTGGTTTTTTTTTTTAGTTGGAGTCTTACTCTGTCGATCGGGTTGGAGTGCAGTGGCATGCTCATGGTCACCGCAGCCTTGACCTGCTGGGTTCAGGTGATCACGCCTCGGTTTTTCAAGTAGCTGGAACTACAGGCACATGCCAAAAAAATAATTTTTTGATATACTGTAGAGATGAGGTCTCACCAAGTTGCCCAGGCTGGTCACGAACCTGTGGGCTCAGGCAATCCTCTCACCTCAGCCTCCCAAAGTGCTGAGATTATAGGCATGAGCCACTGCGCCTGGCCTCCTTCTGCTGTTAAAAGAACCATAAGCTGCCAGGCGCAGGGCTTGAGTGTAGGAGTTGGAGGCTATAGTGTGCCATGACTGTGCCTGTGAATAGCTGCTGTACTCCAGATTGGGCAACATAGCGAGAACCCATATCTAAATAAAAAACAAAACAAAACAAATAAAAATCAGAAAGCTCTTTTCACCTTTGCTATTAAAAAAAAACACTAAAGGGGAAGAATAATCTATGTCTTTTTCACATAGATTCAGCAGATGGCTACAGAAAAAAGATGAAGTTCATGAGAATTTTTCTATGCCGGTTCTGTGAGATCAAGAGACGCTTTCTGAATGATGCGTCTACTTATCTAAATCCATGAATCGCTATACCTATAGGAGGCAGGGACTCCTGTTTTCACTTATGATAGACTTCGGGCTTTCTTTCAGTACCAAATGAGAAGTGACTCTTTCCCTTTCTCCTCTGTTTGCCAATGACCTTTCCCTCAGCAAAAATGAGCCACAAGACACTGCCAACAGATGGAACAGAAGAGCCTTGCTGGGGCTGGGACACTGTGTCTGTGCAAGAGCACTGCTTAGGAAACAGCAGGCAGAGCCAGGGAGGAAGGAAAGAGCATTCTCCTTCAGGGCAGACTCACAAAGCCACACCGAGGGCTGGCACCCACTGAGCGCCCTGTGGAGTGGGAAACACAGCCTGGCTCTGCAGGGCACTGTCAACAAGAAGCTCCTTTTTTTGGAGTCACAGTGGGGCAACGATGGGAGAAGACTGGGCCTGTCCAATGAGAGGAGCTCTCCTTCAGAATCCTGCTGAGCAGCAAAGCCCAGAGGTCAGAAGACAAGAGATGGATAAAGTGGTGGGGGCCAAGTAAGCAAAAACAACCCCCGAAGGCATTAAAGAAAGTGACAGCGAGGTAAGACAACTGTAGCTCTGCTGATAAAAGGGTCCAATGGAAATTGAAATCCAACAATGAGAAGTCTTCCTTTCTGCAATGGCAGATGCCAGCCTCAGGGTCGCTCAGACAGCTCAGAAGAGTCGCAGATCCACATGAACAGAAATGGAAACGACGGGAAGCCGAAGGCCTGGGAGAGCAGCTGCACACTGTCAAAGCTCCACACGGGACAGTTTCACAGGGCGCTCTCACACATGCTCCATGCAGCAACCTGCCGTTGTGCCCTGGGGTGAAGGCCTCATACTCCCTGGGACTTCTTTCACAAGCAAAGGGATCTCTCTTCTCAGACCCTTCTCAGCTCAGTTCAAATTTCCATGGATGGCTTCTCATTCCTCACAAGCAAAAACACTTACACAACACCCTGGAGCGCAAAGACCTGGAGAATTAGGGAAACAAACAGGACACTGAAAAGGTAAGTACTGATCAGAAGGGGTTAGGGGTGGATTAAACAAGTGGTTTTTTTCCATAAGGGTTAAGGTGAGGAACAAGTATGTGTCGACTAAAGCACCCCTAAAGGTGCAAGAAGGCAGCCTCACTTAGATGCTCTAGATCACATTTCTATGGGACATACTGCCCAGCTCCAGCTCAGCAACACTAGGCTGCAGGAAAACCATCAGCTAACGAGGAGAGTAACTAGCTCTCAGGGACAGGTTTGATGAGGGAAAATTAGTTCCCTACTTTAGTACAAAGAATGTGTGGTCAATCAAAACCAGTTTTCTTCAAGTATCAATCTAAGGATATCTGCACACATAGAAATGTACTGTGTGCATATGATCAAATTTTCTCACATTGATAAAAATAGGATCACAGAAGATTTACTTTTCAAATCTCAAACAGCCAAATATTGATTACTGGTTCAAGTGAAATTAGGCACATATATAAATTTTAATGGTTTACCGTAGTCACCTCTTAACCAAAAATCACTACCTCCCAGTTCCTCCCAGCTCCTCTTGTCTCTAAGTACTACTTACCCCCAAGAAAGGTGACAGCTGGGGTAATCTTCTGCTGTACATACATAAAAATCATTTTTAAAATGGGCTAAAACTTGGCTGGGTGTAGTGGCTCATACCTGTAATCCCAGTACTTTGGGAGACTGAAGCAAGAAAATTGCTTTAGCCCAGGAGTTTCAGACCTGCCTGGAAAACAGCTAAATCCCACCTCTGTAAAAATAAAAAAATAAGACAAGTGTGGTGGTGTACACCTGCAGTCCCAGCTACTTGGAAGGCTGAGGTAAGAAGGATCACCCGAGCCCAGGAAGTTGAGGCTGCGGTGAGCTGTGATCGAGTCATTGAACCCAATCCTAGGCAGACAGAGTGAGATCGCCTCAATTCAAAAATAAAAAAATAAAATAAAAAATACAATGGACTGCAATTCTGTAACATAATTACTAGACAGAAATTTTTTTCTACTATTTGCTTCCTATTTACTGTGGTGCTCTATTCCAAGACCTTTCGGTGCGTTCTCCTTCCTCCTATCCACCCTTCCTTACAGCAATGTTTTTGAATGAGAGTTTAGATCTCTGTGTTCTAGTCCTGGATTCTGTACTCATCTACTCAGGTATTTTCAGGCAAGACATGTCACCTCTTTGCGATGCAGTTTCTTCGTGTGTAAAATGCTGGATTTCTAAAGGATGCTTCCACCAGCTCTAATCTACTCCTTTAAAACTTGTAGACCACTAGCTTCCCTTCACTGATGGGCTCCTGACAGTGGATGAAACCTTTGCCAAACTAGTCACAGTAATTAATTGCACCATGAGTGCTGGGGACATCAGGCTTAGCTGTCTGTACATATTTGTAGAATGAGGCCAAGCCAGTATTAATCACAGTCTTTGTCATTGTTTCCTATGACAGTTTTGGAGTGTGTGGGGAACTATCTATTCTTAGTTATGTTTGCATGGCTAGCCTGTAAAAATCACTGATAGTACTAGTAATGTAACAGTTCACACTCAGGTATTTTTTTCCAAGGGCAAAATATTTGTAGGTTAAAATCATGAATAACAGCCAGGCTCCGTGGCTCAGCCTGTAATTCCGCGCCTTTGGGAGGCTGAGGTGAGTGGATTGCCTGAGCCCGCGGGTTCGAGACCCGTCTGGGCAACTTGGCAAGACCTCATCTCTACAATAAATCAAAAATTTATTTATGCGTGGTAGTGCGCGCCTGTAGTTCCAGCTACTTGGAAGGCCGAGGCGGAAGGATCGTCAGAGCCCAGCAGGTCGAGGCTGCGGTGGCTGGGAGTGGCCACTGCACTCCAGTCTAGGCGACAGAGTGAGACTCCAACTCAAAAAAAAAAAAAAATCATGGATAGCGTTAATATTTTAGGTTTTCAAAGATGCCTCAGAAAGCAGATACTACAGTTTATAACTTAAGATGAGCAAGGCTTTAGGAGAATCTTACTGGCAAAATGCTCAAAATGGAAAAGCACTTTTGGCTCAATACTTGCATTAACTGCCCTCTACCTGTGTGAGGAGACACCATGTTATCAATTACCGCTTTCTTTCACAATCTTCCACACTGTTTCTCCAAGCTCCCTCTTTTCAAGCCAACACGAATGCTAATTGAAAACACTGTGTGAAAACGAGAAGGATGATGAGCTCCTGGAAATCCCAGGCCTAGGTTGACAAGCTGTTCCCTTCATAAGCTGCAGCAGTAATGCCACTTCTTTATTCTGCAGGGAGTCCAGCCATCTCTTAGAAGTGCGGTTTGTTCCATCTGGCTACTCACTAGAAGGACAGTAATCCTTTCCTCATCAGAGCATGGCTGAGGCAAAATAATATAATGAATTGCCTTACACAATGACCATCCAAGGGCATGCCCAAGAAGGATAAAGACTTCTGTCCTTGTCTTTTGCCAGCAGATGTTGCCTCATTAGATAAAGAATCATGGGTTTTATTCTTATACATGTTGCTTCAAGTTCAAGTCAAGCTATAATATGATTATGTGTGTAATATGGATGTGCTCATGGGACAGAGAAAGATTCAAACCCATGACCAGCCATTCTAAGAAACATAGTCTGCAGTTGACTTGTCTTATTTATTTATATTAGAGACAGGGTCTCACTCTATTGTCCAGGCTGGAGTGCAGTGGCACAATCACAGCTCATTGCAGCCTTGAATTCCTGAGCTCAATCAACCTTCCAGCCTCAACCTCCCAAGTAGCTGGGTCTATAGATGTGTGCCATCACAGTTGGCTAATTTTTAAATCTTTTGTAGAGATGGAATCATGCTGTGTTTCCCAGGCTGGTCTTGAACTCTTGGGCTCAAGCACTCCTTCTGCACTAGCCTCCCAAAGTGCTGGGATGACAGGGGTGAGCCTCCGTGCCTGGCTAACTCTTGCTTTAGTATCTACATATGCTCATCTCACCATATGGTCCAACCCTAAAATTTCCAAACAGTTTATATGTCTACAAGTATGAACTAACTTAATAGATCAAAGGGCTGCCAATTTTGTGGGATGGCATACTAAAAAGGCACCCTATCTCTAGGAATGTGAAAGAACAAATACCACTTCCATTTAATAAATGATTATCTGATGGATGATCATTAGTACCAAAAAGTTTGCATGGGTAGATCCCTTTTGGAAATGTACTTTTTCTCCTCTAAATAATGGAGCATGCACTACTGCTCATTTGCTGAGTATGTTGTTAAAAGCTTATTTTCTCTCTCTTTTTTGCTTCTTGGGAGTTTATTTTTTAATCTATCAAAGCCAGGTCATTAACTGTCCCATTAGTCTACATCAATATTTAACACAACTCATTCTACTACTGAGCAGTGAATGAAAAAGCTTCCTACTTGTGTAGGCTCACATACATACAATGTCTCACTAACTACTTCTAAATTATCATTAGTATTTTCCAGAGAAAAGGAAGACTAAAAATTGAGTGATATTTATTTGCTCTGAGTGCTGTTTTGGGGGTGATTTTCCCTAAGTTTCCCACTCACTTTTCAAAACCCTTTGGGAGACGAATGGCCAAGAATACAGCTAATAAGTGACAAAGCTAGAACTGAGATCTAACTACAAAAACCATGCTCTTTCCATTAAATCATTCTGAAGCATTCATGAGAAAAAAAAACTGTTTTGATTTCATTTTCTCTTCTTTTTCTTTTTGTAGAGACCGGGTCTCGCTGTGTTTCCAAGACTGGACTCAAAATCTTGGGCTCAAGCAATCCTCCCACCTCAGCCTTCCAAGTAGCTGGGACAACAGTAATTCTGTTTCTTAATATTACTTACTAAGTTTAACAACCATACAGGAATCTTAACCAAGTCTTCAACTCACTCATTCGGTGTAATTCCAGGGTTTTGGTAGTATTTATAAAGACTGATGACATCTTACTTTTGATGACATGCTGGCATTTAAGTATCCTATCAGTAAGCACTCACCATTCCCTAACGATCAAGCCTGTTCACAACTTCTCGAACCGTAGCTATGAAGCTTTCATTGTCTTGGGGATTAGCTAAAATAATACTGTGCAGTCTGTTCATATATGAGTCAATGGTGTCCACTGTAGGTGTCTCTCCACTTCCTGAAGTGAGATAAGAGAGAAGGTAAGAAAGTCCTTCTAACATTACTTGCTAAGTTTAACAACCATGCAGGAATCTTAACCAAGTCTACTAAATTGAACAACCATGCAGGAATCTTAACCAGGTTAGGGTTAGGGTTGGGTTAAGGTTAGGGTTACAAGGTAAGAAAGTCCTCCCCACTCAGGTCAATGAAAATAGTTCCAAGATATTGTGACTCTAAAGTGGTCTGCTCCACAGAGCAGATTTTAATTTTAAAGGAGAAACTTTTAGACCTCAAAGAAATAAAATTAATCCACATACTCTAAATAAACAGATGGGCTATATAATTGCTGTACAGCATATGAGTAGCTGCTTGTAACAGAAGGTTAGACACTCCCAGTTTTCTGCTGTGACTAGCCTCAAAATGAAAGAGTGCATAAGAAATCCTAGTGTTTGTTTTCTCTTCCTTTCCATTAAAACAAAAACAAATACAAAGAAAGCAAACATAAATGACAGAAAGCACTCTCTTCAGGATTTATTACTTAGTTTCCATTGTTCTGAGTATCAAATTAAGCTTAATAGGAAGGAAAATAGATTACATTAAAATATAATCGGACAAAAATGTAGAGTCTGAAATTTTGGATGACATTAGCCAACGCTGATGTTTCATCACGGGACCTACAGAAAACCTGTGGGGGAACAACTCCGTTCAGCCTCCCACCGAACACGACATAAGCAGCACCCCTCCCCCGCCACCCTCGCCACCAGAAGCTCAGGCAGGATGCCATTACCAGGCAAGGGCATGCCGGCAAAGCTGCTGGTCAACACCTGCCGCAGGGTCTCCAGGTGCTGCTGCAGGACTGTGTTGCGGCTGCGTTCCTGGATCACATCCACCTCTAGCTTTTCCACTGCTGTGCGCATGCTCTCCACGTGCTTTTGCAGGGCCGCATTCCTCTCCTCGAACTCCATGTTGGATTTGCGTAGCTGGCGGAGCTCTGCCTCCCGAGCTGAGGACGCACACCCCACAGAACATATGCAGCACTAGAAGCAGTCTCTTAGGGGTCCCAGAGGCTCTTACTGGGAAGTTCTGCTTAGATGCCTCCAATTTAGCTACCCCACCTCGTATTCCTATTCTCATTATGGTATTCCAGACAGCAATTTCAGCAATGAAATGCCTGGCTCCCCAGAGCTATTTTAATTCTTAAAGCCAGTCATATTCCATACATAAGACTGTAATGAACAGCTGCAATTCCCAGCATTTTTTTTGTTTGCTTTTGCTTTTTAAAGTTGTGCAATGAGAAGCCTGAGGGACTTTTGCAAGAAATCCCGGGAGAACACCCAGGCTCAGTTGTAGGTACCCATTTCTTCCTACAATGAGATCAGCCTTGCTCTTATGTACTTTATATTTTGAACTTCCATGTAAGCTTTCATTTTTACAAGGGTTCCAGGCTAAGAGTCTGAAAGCAAATGAATTAATAATTTACATTTATTGCCTTTGATCCAGATACCAATGAAACTTTTTTGGCTGATTTTCCTTCACTGGTCTTTGAGTAGCTACCTTTACCACAGTGAAACAGAAGCAGTTACTCTTTTTCTAGATTAGTCCTAAGGAGGGATATCACTACCACTGTTTTTAAGCAATGAATTCCTCTTGAGGACTAAATCCCCCGTCAGAAACCCCAGGAACACAAAAAGAAACTTCAGTAATCACCTTTGCTGTGGTTCAGGAATTCCTCTGTAAATATAGGGATGTCAAAAACAGACCGTTCCTTTACCTCTGTTTCTTTCTGTGAACCAAGAGTAACAAAACGGTTAATTCTTAAACAGAAGCTAAATTAATAACTGCCTGAAGGCATAAAGATCATGTCTTCCTTAAAAAAAGAGTGGGGCGAACAGGAATCAATCTAGGTGAGTCTGTGATAGAAATGTATTCACTTTTTCATTGGAATCCAATTTTCTTAGAGCTCAAGCAGGTTGAATATTCAGTTCTCCCAGGTGCACAACTGCTGTGCAGTGAGAAACCTTAAAACAAACCTACATTCTCTAATGCAGACTCTGAAGACGTTTCTTAGCTTTGTGTTCTAAATAGTTAAATGTATACAGTTGTGAAAGTGATTGAGGCAGGAACTGAGAGTGTTTTTTTCAGTCACTTATGTTGGTCATGCATGTAAAATGCTCTCTGACATAGGATTATACCATTTAAATTTCCAGAGTGGACAATAAGAATTTTAAGCAGATAATTATGATATTCCAGTGGTATTTCAATTTATTTATGAGAGGCAGCCTATTTTGGGGGCTCTTTAAGACTTTCTTCAGACATAGAAAAAAACCAAACAAATAAAACCAAGAAGTCAGAAATAACCAGGCTCAAAAAATGAGAAAGCTAAGGATTATGTGAGATAGAAAAGAATAACAAAGTCTCAAATTAATTCACCAAGAAGCCATTAAAAATAAAAAAGTCTCTCAAAACCACTGCAAAATATATTTCACAATGATCCTTGAGAATACAGTCAATAATTCAAGATGCTTTGGCTGTCTTTTCTACAATGAATTTGAAGTTGAAAGCATTATGAATATCAATTATAAGTGTTTTGGCATAGTGTTCAAAAATCTTACATAACATTAGATGGTAAAGAGAACGGCAGGAAGACAGAACTGAAGATATTGCTGGTGAAATCTGAAGATCCCAAAACCTTTATAAAATGAAAAACATGGCCGGGCTCGGTGGCTCAGCCTGTAATCCCGCGCCTTTGGGAGGCTGAGGTGAGTGAATTGCCTGAGCCGGCGGGTTCGAGACCCGCCTGGGCAGCGAGACCTCATCTCTACAATCAATCAAAAAATCAGCTGGGCATGGTGGCGCATGCCTGTAATTCCAGCTATTCGGAAGGCTGAGGCGGAAGGATCGCCGGAGCCCAGCAGGCCGAGGCTGCGGTGGCCGGGAGCGGCCACTGCACTCCAGTCTGGGCGACAGAGTGAGACTCCAACTCAAAAAAAAAAAAAACAAAAAAAAACAAAAAAAAAAGAAAAACAGTAAACAAAATACCTAGAAATTATTCCTCTAAAAACATGTTGAAAGCTAGAGATAGAATGTATCTCCCCTACTCTTGTCACCACTAGTTTCTTTTTTTTTTTAATCTTTGAACACAAAAATGATTTGGTGCCCAGTAGAAAAGCCAAGCAGTTAACAGCCTACTAGAGAATTTTGCTAGCCAAGCTCCTGTTTACATTCTGGTATTTGCCTGGGGAGGGGCTGGGCTGTGCCAACTGCCTCAAGGCAGACACTTAAGATGGAAGCCTGAAAAACTATTTACCTGAGGAAAATCTCAGAGCACTTAATTTCTACCCTATCGTTTCCCTCTTAAAGAAGGAAAGCAGTTTCTCAGAGCAATTTAAATAAATAAAATTGTCATTTAAAGTTTCAAGTTTCAATGTGCAAAACTCCACCTCGAGCCAATTCCTAGTGGATTTCAATGAGAACTAATATATGGGCAAGCAAGGCTGGTTCCAGAAGGGATCTCATCCATACTTTGCAGTAGCTTCCTCTCGACACTGCTGGCTTACCACATATGCTTTAACTCTGTTACCTGGCTGCTGCAGGAAAACAAACTTCTGACACATAACACCAACACGTGCAAGGCGTAAGTCCACAAATGACGGAGGATCAAGTTATAGGACTCTATCATCCTCCCTGGTTCAGTCTCCTTAACTGCAGTTACATGAGATCAGTTACCTAGCTAAATGTCTCAATAGCTGCCAGTTAGATGGATAAGTGGAGATGCTTGGCTCCTATTACCATGGTACAAAGAGCCCTCTCCAAGGTCTTGACTCTCCTCAGACTGGTAATTCTGTTCTCTTCTTTGCCAGAGCAGTCCAAACCAAGCTAATTATGTAAGGGCACAGGACAGCACCACATAGATGCATTAACACACTGCCCCTTGGTACAGATTCTTAGAGCGCAAAATAAGAAACATTAAAGCAATTAAATGAAACTGTTCAGTCTCTGAAAGGCAACAGAGAAATTCTACTTAATGGAAGAGTGGTAATAAAAACCATCAGCGCTCTTCCATTACTGAGTGCATTACTCGGCATGGAGAGTATCCTCCTGGGGGCTTGGATGTACTTAAGCTGCTCCAAGGATCGCTCAAGGGATTAAAATCATAAGGATTTGATTACCTCTTCATTGGGAAGGGTCTAATTTGTTCAGGCTGAGTGTCATTTTGTCATTTCTCATAAATTAAAGGAGAAACAGAATTATTGTTTCCATCTTAGTTCTCACATGAGAGGTAGACACTGTCTTGAGCATCATACAAGCTGACTCCTGGGTCTAGTGGGCTGGCTTTTGATTTGAGAGGGGCAAGACTACTTTTCACTTTGCTTTTTCATTCTATATATTGAGTGGAGGTTAAGTGAACAGAGGTCCTTTTGAACTGCACCTAGTTTGCTGTGATCTAGGCTCAGGGCCAGCATTTCAGAGAGTGTGACATGCTTCTCTCAAGAGCCCTTGACTTTGGGGAATGCTCTTAATCCTGTGTACCAGGCTGAAGTGGCCCACTGCTATGCAGAATGGCTTTCAAGGCAGCATTGCTTTAGCTCTAATATGCACTCTCCAGGACCTGCCTTGGTAACAGTGTCTTAGGGATCCAAGTTCCAGTTAGGGATACAATAGGTTTCCTTACTATACATAAGCCAAATAATTTCTGTTTTAACTGGCAACACATTTTGCTGACATCTAAGGCAACCAGGCCCATTTTAACTTTCAACACTGTGTAGTTTATGTTACATAGCATGGCGCTGTGCTGCCAAGAATGCTAGACTGTGATACAGAAGGCGTAGGGTGCAGTCACACTTCTGCATGTAATTCAAGTCAGTGACTCTGGGAAAGTTCTTTCATATCCTAGGCAAGTCACTTTCCTCACTGGCAAGATGAGGCAGTCAGCTGAGAGGATCTCAGAGGTCTTAGCATTCTGAGATGAGCTCAAGACTATTCTATTACATTCCTCCTCTTACTCCTCATAGGATAAGTCAAGGGAAATAAGTATGTATTTAGCGTCTATGATGTTTAGACACTTCACAAATACCTGCTCTTTTATTAACTTAATCATACTACTATTTGAGCCCTTTTACCCACTCTGAGATGCCCCCACAAAGCCTGAATCTTCTTTAAGACCTGATTCAATTCTCCCTTTCCACGGGCTCCCTCTGTGGATGGTTTTCACCCACAGTGCTTTTTCTATCTTTCTGAACTCCCACTATAATAAGAAGCTATATATACACAAAAATTACTGGATAACGGTGTTTAAAAACAGTCTTAAAACTTTTAAACCAGTTCTTTTATATTATAATTGTTCTAAAAATTACCGTTTAGGAAATATATTATTCAATGAAAAATGAAAACTGATAAAAGGTTGTAGTTGGGCCAACAACCTTACTAAGATAGCTTTATCCTGATGTGGGCACACCAACACACAGATTTACAGACCCCTAGAGAAACTTCTGCTAGCTCTCCACCTACCCATTCCTTTTTTGGGGGTGCTGCTTAATGTGTATCTAATCCTGAAGCAGAGAAATCACACAGAGACTCATTCCTTTTTGCAACTCATAGAAGATATAGAAATTCATATCATACTAATGATATTTTAATAAATAGCTTCATTTTTAAAAATCACCAGCAGCAGTTTCTATGACAGACTAAAGTCACTATATCTTTACGGATTCCAAGTGTCAACTTTACTGAAGACAAACATGTCACATATAGTTTGGCCAGTGAAATCCATAGTGATGAAAAGAGTAACTAATTGACTATAAAATGTGAGATCTAATGTTTCAGATTACTGTCCAAATTCTCTTTTGTAGCCATTAAGGACAGAGAAGCAAAATTAGTGAAAAAAACTATGGAAGATTTCATGATATTTGTGGCTGGGCACACAGATGAAGGAAGGGAGAAATATGTAATCATACAAGTGTCGGGTAATATAGAAAGCTCACAGAATTACTCATTATGATTTGAAATACAAAGTATAATACAAAATTTCTCCAGTAAAAGGTATTCATAACATTTTATCCTAATTAAAGCACAGACATGTCACATATAACCACATATTTAGGGTTTATTTGAATATAATGCCAATATTTGCTATGCTTCTCACTTTTTAATTTATGGATGGAAATACATCTGTTTGACCTCTGAATCTGACTCTTTTCTCTTTTTTGAAAGGCACCAACATCAAATTAGGTATGAGAACTATAACCTTAAGATAATTATTTCAAAGAAATGATTTCCTTGATTTAGTAAAAAACCAAATACATGTAAAATAACACATCAGAAAATTCTTTTTGCTCAAATTCCCACTGTTATTTCAAGTCAACTTTGAATGGATTTTTGTATAAAAATTATTATTTATGGAATACCTCCTTCATGCAAAGTCATCATGCTAGGTGGCATGGGACTGGAAACAAAGATAAAAACTAGACTGAGTGCCCTCAAAGAGATTACAACTAAAGAGTGAATAACAGGGACACCTGAACACCCTCAACACCAGGCCAGATCAGCTACGTGCATAAGAGAAGCACAGAGAGACCTGAGGGCTAAAGGAAGATTAGGAAACAAGAAAGCTTGAAAGAAGAAATGGAATTTGAAATCATCATTTGATGGGTGCCTTGAATTTTGAGAAGCAGAAATAGAATGGGAGAGGTGAAAGAAACGTGTGAGGAAGATAAAGTCTTCTTATGAAAGGAATAATATGAGCACAGGCAGAAGGCAGAGAATGGGGGGGGGGTGCCTGGAAGACAATGGGTAGTAGAGATTGTTAAGTATATAAAGATCTCTGGGGGGAAATGGGAGTTAAGGTATTTGGAATGAGAAGTTGGGACTTAATTACAGAAGATCCCAACTGCTGAGTCTGGATGTGATGCGGTAAGCAATGAGGAGTCATTGCATGTTTTCAACCACAAATTATATTTGTTTGACAACCATCTATTAACCACAGGCTACATATACTTAAAGCTCTCTATGCCGAACAGCCATATACACAGGCCTGAATCCTATACACATGTCACTTGTGCTCTATTCACACCGTAGTTGAACAGTTCGTTTTAACCAAATACTGTATTCTTTAAATAGCAACTTTTTTGAGTCAGACAAAAGTATCTGGTAATGATAAACCATGGTCAAGTCATAGCTTTCAGCTGGTTCTTATTTCTGTACCTTTTTCCTAATTCCAGTTATCTTTGGCATTGAAGGCCAATAAAATTCTTGGACTACAGGAAAGGATTGGGGTTAGGATAAACAAGGACAGACACACAACATAAGTGTCTGCCATATGCTAAGAACCCTGAGCTAAAGCAACTCACTAAATCTGAATTATAGGATAGGAAATACACTGTCATTCATTTAAAAAAAATCCAATAGCATTTCAAATGGCAACATTATTATAAATATATATATGATATGTAGACAGATGGCTAATTACCTCATGATCATGAGTGGCCTGCCGGGCTGCATCTAAAAATATGAAAGAATAAAAGAACATTAAATTAAAAAACAAACAATAACAAAACCCAAGTATATGACTGTGCCAAACTATAAAACCTGCTGGAATCTGCAGACTCATACAACATATGATTATTTTCCTTAAGGCTTTATTAATCAGTCAGTCAACAAGAGTTAAAGGAAACTGTATATCTACAGAGTACATAATTAGGCACTCAAGAAGCAACAGATACAGTACTTACCTTTAGGGGAACAGGGTGGACAGGAAACATACACCAAGGACTGTTTGTACAACATTATAGTTTTAGCATGCTAGATGCCCAAGCGTGGAGAAGACGCAATGGCTAAGAAACAACAGACTAGTTGTGGGTGGTACTTCTTTGGCAGTGTTTCCTGAAGAAGAGGAACTTGAAGCAACACTTGTGAGAGTGTGATGAACACTTTTAACAGAGAACAGCAGATCCATGAAGACAGAGATCTTGTCTTTCTCGTTCACTGTTGCATTCTTAATGCCAGAAGAGAACCTGATATCTAATAGAAGCTACTCAGTACATGTATTTTGAATGCATAAGTACATGAACAGGTGGATAAATGAATAAATGAAAAGGAAGATCAATGGAGGTTGGAAAAAACAGCACATGAAAAGCTTAGAGGCGTTAAAGGCAAGTCAGTTATGTAGTTTACTGAACAGACTTGTTTACAGACAGAGAAAACTGGGAATTAGGAAAAGAAAGGCAAACAACTAATAGAGGTCTTGGAGAACAAGCCAAATTATTAATAATAGATATGGATACTCAATTGAAATCTCTAAATGAGAGCAATATGATTTTAATAAAATTTCAAAATGATGCTTGTAATTGAATATAGAATAACAGAAACACATCTTTTATAGTTATCACTTTAACAGTTGGCTTTATGACACTGCATCACACACGACAAATTCCAGATGCATTTGCTTCTGGTTCTGATACCTTGCCTATGAGATTTGCCTTTCTGACGGTCCTGGGTTTTTCTGCTGAAGACCTTGTAGGCTTCAGTTTTCTGATACTGCTCCAGTTCTTTCATGTAACGCTCCTTATCTCTGTCTGCTTCATCAAGGTAGCGCTAGCAAAGAAATGCAGAATTATTTTCAGGAAACTGAGATCTTATTTAGATAAAATATCAGTTACCTATTTGTAAAAAATAGAGGACAATTAGAACATGAAAACAAAAGGATAAAGAAATATGCTTTAAGGGAGAATGAGAAAAAGAAATAGGTGATTCTGACTTTTTAGCCTATTTATTGCCTTTTCTAACTTAATGAAGACAAGTTCTACTGAGATCATTCTTATAAAAAATTCATGAAGCTGATCACAGTTACTCCTCTAACCCTATAGATAGAACTCCACATGCCCACTGGAGTTCTCAGGAGGGCTGCACACCACATAGGCACACTTAGTCTTCCCAGAGGAAGAAATAGAATATTACTTTGTTTCTCTACCCCCAGCCCATTTTGAGGGAATGACCTCACACATCAATTGGACCTTTAAGAGTCAGAAGAGTGGAGCACTAAAGCTGGGAGACACAAAGAGCATAAAAAGAATGACCTCATCCTATGGACCTAAAAATGGACCACTTTGAGACTGCCTATATCTACATGCTTTGATTGCTTTGTGCTATTAATTATTTAAACAAAGTTTATTGATTTACCCAGATTATTTTGTTTAATGTCTTGTCTTTTTCATCCATCAAATCAAGTATAAGAAAGTACAAAAATACTGCTTCTAAATGAAGAGAAACCAGGTCAGAAATTATGTTAAAAACCTTGTCCCACACAAGAGCCAGATGTAGGGGACACTCAACTGGCCAAATTCTGGGACAATTTAAGCATTAAAATAATTAAGTACTGTAATAAATTATAAACCACTGAAATAAATTCATACCAACAACAATAGATAGAATTTCAATTATTAAATACCATGCCAATAATAAACAGACAGCAAACAAACACATAAATGAGGGGAGGGGAGGGCTCCTGCTTAGATTAGAATGCTGCAGGCCAACTGGTAAATGTGAAGGGAGTGCTCAGTCGGAAAAATCTTCATGTTGCAACCATAATGATAAAGATTAGATCTGGCAAAAACCATCAATTTGATGCTAAATCCAGGGGAAAATTTTGATGTGGAACAGGCTATTTGCATGTCCTTAAACTATCCCCCCATAGACTGCTTATTAGTGATAAAGGAGAATTTAAAACAATTAATGGTTAAGCAAAATTAACATTACCAGTGAGGAGTAAAAAGACACTGTGTGCCTGATACGTGATACTCCGAGAAGGACATACCACTACCTACGTAGTACTCTGTCTGAGAATGCATAACCTCAACCTAATCACAAGGAAACATCAGACAAATACACAATGAGGAATGTTCTGTTAAAAGTAAAAGAAGGGGAGAAAGAGAAGGGGGTTGAGTTCTTAAAAAATATCAATGTTATAAAAGACAGACATGGAATAGCAATATTCAAGAAGTTGAATAAATCTGACTATTAGACATAAAACCTGACTCTAGACTGGAATCCACATTGCAGGGGGAAAATGTTATAAGGAATGATGTTAGGTCAACATATTAATGGTAAAGTACCATGTTAATATAAAATGATGAAGTTGATAACTGTACTATGGTTTTTTAAGAGAATATTCCTATTCCTAGGAAATACACACTGAAATATTCAGGGATAAAGAGCCATGGTGTATGTAACTTACTCTCAAATGATTAAAAAAAAATTTGTGTGTTAGGCCCACAAATGTGAGTGTATGTGCAGGTGTGTATGAGAGAAAGAAAGATTGTGCAAAAGTATGAATGCATATGCAAACAGAGAAACAGAATAAAATGTGTTAACAACAGGTGGATCGGTGTCTGGATGTTCTTTGTACTATTTTTGTTTGTAACTTTTTGTACATATGAATTATTTTTAAATAAAAAGTTATAAAAACAAAAACAAAATACTAGTCCTACATAACTAACAGTGGTTAGTTACTTTTGCTTTTTTGTTTATATACTTCTATATTTTCTGAAAACAATCTGAAAAATAAGCATGCATTAATTTAAAATAAAGAGGGCCAGGCGCAGTGGCTCATGCCTGTAATCCCAGAACTTTGGGAGGTTGAGGTAGGAGGACTGCTTGAGCTCAGGAGTTCAAGACCAGCCTGGGGAACACAGTAAGACCTTGGCTCTACAAGAAATACAAAAACTAGCTGGTATGGTAGCATGTGTCTGTAGTACCAGCTTCTCTGGAGACTGAGGAAGGACTGCTTGAGCCTTGGAGGTAGAGGCTGTGGTGAGTTGGGATAGTACCACTGTACTCCAACCTGGGCGACAGAGTGAGACCATGTCTCAAAAGTAAATCAATAAATAAAAAGAGAAAGAAAGAAGGAGAAGAAAAATATAAAAGAGTAGCCTAGTACGTATAGCTTACTATCCTTTTATACAGTAGAGCCAAAACAATGGATGATATCCACTGTTTTCTACTAGCTTGCTACTACAAATACAGAGCTTCAAGTTGCAACTTAATCTGACCTCTTTGAAAATTTCTGAATTCATTTAATTCCCAAGAGAGTATTTTTCAATTTGGTTTTAGTCTGTCTGGAATCTTTTTTTTGAGTTGGAGTCTCACTCTGTCGCCCAGACTGGAGTGCAGTGGCTGCTCCTGGCCACCGCAGCCTCGACCTGCTGGGCTCCGACGATCCTTCCACCTCAGCCTTCCAAGTAGCCGGAATTACAGGCATGCGCTACCATGCCCGGCTGATTTTTTGATTTATTGTAGAGATGAGGTCTCGCTGCCCAGGCGGGTCTCGAACCGGCGGGCTCAGGCAATCCACTCACCTCAGCCTCCCAAAGGCACGGGATTACAGGCTGAGCCACCGAGCCTGGCTTGGAATCTTTTTAAAAGAGTGTAAGTCATAAAAGGGTATAAGACATAAAAGAAATATAGATATCTTTCAGATGCTGGGAGCTTTTAACCCAAAGCAACTCCCGCAATCATGCCCAATCACTCTGTTTTAGTGGCATTTCAACCAGCTCATGGCTATCCTGTCCTTAATTCTTCTCAGATCTCTCTAACAAATGGATTAATTTCAGTCTGGCAAATGGGTGAGCATCTGTCTTAGAGGAGAGAGAATTCAAGTAGTTCTTGTTTTATTTTCCATAGTAGGTTAATTTGCCATAACTCTAGTTAAAAAAATTTATTATAGCAGTAAAATATTTTTCTTAGAAATATTTTGTGGGCTGGGCTTGGTGGTTCCGTCTGTAATCCCAGCACTTTGGGAGGCTAAGGCGAATGGATTGCCTGAGCCCGTGGGTTTGAGACCTACCTGGGCAACTTGGCGAGACCTCATCTCTACAATAAATAAAAAATTAGCTGGTGTGGTAGCACATGCCTGTAGTTTAGGCTACTTGGAGGGCTGAGGCAGAAGGATCGCTGGAGCCCAGGAGGTCAAGGCTGTGGTGGCCAGAAACGTGCCACTGCACTCCAGTCTGGGCGACAGAGTGAGACTCCAACTCAAAAAAATAAAAAAAATTAAAAAATCATATATATATAACTGCAGAATTTTAACAATTTTTTCTCACTTAGTTTATAACTTTTTTATCTTGGTGGAATACATTATTTGATACATTTCTTAATACTGAATCACTTAAAAAAATCTTATGTGAACTCTCAGCACATAAATAAAAGTGGAGCTGCTTTGGTTAAGGGGAGCCCTAGACTCCCTCCTGCTCACATCCCCACGGCAAACCCTGAAACAGTTTACAAATCTTTAAGTTACAGAAGAGAGCTATTCTGGTCTCCTAGGTACTGTAAGGAAATTGAAGAGTCAACTATCCAACCTCTTTGCTTTTCTTACAGAAGTTATTTTTGAGATATAATCAACACCAAACAAAGGATCAGGAATAAGAACAGTTACCTGCTTTTCCTCAGGAGGCAGTTTACTCCATTCATTGCCTAACATTCTTGTAATTTCTGGAAATGGGACTTCTGGTCTCTTAGCCCGAAGCTGTTCTCGACGCTCATTCATGAACCGAACATATCCTGTGAGGGGGGATTTGGGTGCATTGCTGTCTCGAAGAGGTTTCTTCCGCTTTCTTCCTTTAGACCACCCTCCTCGTTTACTTCTTTGCTACAAAACAAAACAAAATTAAAAAACCAAAACCAAACAACTATCCCTCAAAATAACCCAACAATAACAATAATAAACAACAACAAAAAAAAACAGGATAAGAGTTGCATTTTCCGATGGGTAAGACCCTGGATGTTCAAAGCTATCTGAATCTGTCATAGGTACAAACGGCTATAATGCAGTTTTCAGGAAGGGACTCCAGATGGTTCACTTGCAGACCCTTTTATGTACCGTACTACAAATGGTTGTACTAAAGGGCTATTTCGGGCTAATCTCAACATATGAGAATAAGGGATGCCATGATCACTCAAGCTTTGACCTTCATATGCACTTAACAGGTCCTGATTCCTGACAAGGGAATATTCTATATGAGAAATACAGCAGCACACAAAGCCCTAGGCCAGGGAGGCAGATATTGTCACAGTAGGTCAGATTAAGATGCTGTCACATGCACTGGGTAAAAGGAGAGACAAGCTGTAGCACAGGGATTAAAAATAATTCATGAAGGGTATATCTCACTGATAACACTCAAAAACGAGTTTATTTTCCATAGCAGAAAACATACGGATTTTAAAATTAATAACTAAGTCTCAGAAAAAATTTCAGTAAATATAATATATCCAAAATGAAGACTACTTCTTTGGCTTGATAATTTGTTTCTTAAGATGTATATTTTGTAGTCAGAGGTCTTTATGTGTTGTGTCATTAGATAAATCAAATGATGAAAACATCCCTAAAAAAAAAAAAACCCCAAAGACCTGAGATTTCACTGATGTTTTACCATAGCCTTTTTTTTCTTTGGTCCTTTAAATGACATGTAAGGTACATCATGTTTTTGCTTCATAATTCTACAAATACATATGGCCTATCAGTTAATGTTTTATGGATATGAAAATTCTTATTTCAGATAAGAAATAAAAGGGAATGAAAACAACTAAATACTAATTATAGTATTCCACTCCTTCAATTACATATAAAATGGCATGATTATTAACCATTGGGAAAATGGTATACTTGTTGGATTTTTTTCAAACTTAGTAACATTAAGACTACCAAAAATTTTAAGATGTTTAAGAAGCTTTAATCACCATTATAATCTTTAAAACTGTCAACAGGATAGATGAAAAAATTAGCTCTTTATAATTGAGAAGACAAAAATCAACGGTGGTACTCTTTTCTGGCTGAAAAAAAAAGGTGCCATGACTGGGGATGATGGCTCATGCCTGGAATTCCAGCACTTTAGAAAGTCAAGGAGAGAGGCTTGCTTAAGGCCAGGAGTTTGAGACCAGTCTGGGCAACATAGCAAGATTAGGACTTCAAATACAATGTTGAACAAGAGGGGTGAGAGTGGGCAGCCTTGTCTTGTTCCGGTTTTCTGGGGAAATGCTTCCAGTTTCTGTCCATTTAGCAATATGCTGGCTGTGTATTATTGTAGATGGTGCTTAATATTTTGTAATATGTTCCTTCTATGCTTAGGTGTTTGAGGGTTTTTATTAAGAAGGGATGCTAGATTTTATCAAAAGCCTTTTCTGCATCTAATGATATAATCATGTGGTTCTTGTTTTTGTATCTGTTGATGTATTTAATTACATTCATGGTCTTGCGGGTGTTGAACCAGCCCTGCATCCTGAGGATGAAGCCTACTTGGTCATGATGAATGATTTTTGAGACATGTTGTTGGATTTGGTTTGCAAACTAGTTCGTTTGACCTCCATGGAAAACAGTGTGCAATTTCTAAAAGAATTAGAAATTGACTTTTCATATGATCCAACAATCCCCTTACTGGGAATATACCTGGAGGATCTCAAATCATTCTACAAAAAAGATACCTGCACATGCATGTTTATTGCAGCACTATTCACAATAGCAAAAACATGGAACCAACCGTGATGCCCATCAAAACTGGACTGGATAAAAAAAATGTGGTACATATATACAATAGAATATTACACAGCCATAAAGAAGGACAAAATTATAGACTTCACAGCAACTTGGATGGATTCAGAGTCTATCATACTCAGTGATCTATCACAGAAACAAAGAAGAGATTACCACATATTCTCACTCATAAGCAGACCTTAAACATTTACCATAATACTATAAGGGATTGGCAGTAGCAGGGTACTACCAGGGTGGGGTCTCGGAGGAGGTAACACAACATCAATAAGGGTAACTGTTCTCAAACCAGACAAAGTAGGGACCAAAGGGAGGCCCAAACTTTACTTGTACAATGCCCACTTATATACCTAATCCTGAATTGTACCCCATATCTTTATTATTTATTTATTTATTTATTTTTATTTTTTTGAGTTGGAGTCTCACTCTGTCACCCAGACTGGAGAGCAGTGGCTGCTCCCAGCCACCGCAGCCTCGACTTGCTGGGCTACGGTAATCCTTCCGCCTCAGCATTCCAAGTAGGTGGAACTACAGGCACGAGCTACCACGCCTGGCTAATTTTTGATTTATTGTAGAGATGCAGTCTTGCCAAGTTGCCTAGGTGAGTCTCGAACCCGCGGGCTCAGGCAATCCACTCACCTCAGCCTCCCAAAGGCACGGGATTACAGGCTGAGCCACCGAGCCCAGCTGTACCCCATATCTTTAAAATAAAATACAAGCCGGGTTCAGTGGCTCAGCCTGTAATCCCGTGCCTCGGGAGGCTGAGGTGAGTGGATTGCCTGAGCCCGCGGGTTTGAGACCCGTCTGGGCAACTTGGCGAGACCTCATCTCTATAATAAAAATAAAAAATCAGCTGTGCGTGGTAGCGCGTGCCTGTAATTCCGGTTACTCGGAAGGCTGAGGCGGAAGGATCGCCGGAGCCCAGCAGGTCGAGGCTGCGGTGGCCGGGAGCGGTCACTGCACTCCAGTCTGCGTGACAGAGTGAGACTCCAACTCAAAAAAAAAAAAATAAAATAAAATTTAAAAAAATAAAATAAATAAAATAAAATACAAAAAATAAAAATAAAATAAAATAGAAAAAAATAGTCATCAGGCCATATGGAACCTTTGTGTAAGTTAGAGAAAGTTGTTTCTGTGGGAAGGTAAAGGACTTAGTAAGTGGTATGAATCCTTTGGGCACACAGGGCTCCATGCAGCAAGGCCTGATGAGCAGAGTGTGGCCCTGAACAAGGGCATGTGCACTTTTTATTAATTACTTGTTAAGGGTTAAATCAGTCACTCATTCAACAAGCATCTGTTGGGCATTTAATATGAGGTAGGTAAAAGAGTTACCTATCTCTATGCCATTAAAACCATTAATGTGGTTATATGTAACACAAGAAATACAAAACAGAAAATTTTCCAGGTATCAGTCTAAGAATGTGAGAAGGCCAGAGGAACACCTTACTCGACATTTCCCTTGCTGATGCTTCTTCAGAAGCTTTGGAGGACAGTAAAATAAGGCACTCACCTCATCCTCATGCCTCTGTTCAGTGCCTTCTGCTGTATTTGAAGACTCATTCTGAAGCAACTGACCTTGGGCAAGATCTTCCACAAATTCTGGATTGTTGGTAGATGATGTAGTGCCACTACTGTATGGAACCTCTGGGTGGGTTAATCTGAGTAACGGGCAGAAGTGTAAAATTTCAGCATTAACAGTATAAAGAACTCCTCCTATTTACCAAGGTTCTGCCAGCAAAGGCAATGCCAGTCCTTGAATTAATTCTCTCACTACAATCTGTATAAATGAGATTGTCCATAGAAGTTACAAAGTGTCCAAAAATGGTTTCAGTGTTTGACTGAACAAGACAAATTCCATGAAGTCTCCTACCAAAAACTATAATCTTTTTTCAAAAAAATGATCTCTCCCCTCAACATAGATTTCGTTTATTAGCTCTGCACATGCAACAGTCTGACTTTTACGTGCTACCTTTCAAGTATCTCCAATGCAATGGGAAAACACTATTAATGGAAAAAGTGAATAGAAATGGGAGTTGTGGAAGCCGTTTGCCACCTATCACAAAAGAGTGAGTTCTTTTTTTTTTGAGTTGGAGTCTCACTCTGTCACCAAGACTGGAGTGCAGTGGCCGCTCCCGGTCACCGCAGCCTCGACCTGCTGGGCTCCAGCGATCCTTCCGCCTCAGCCTTCCGAGTAGCTGGAACTACAGGTGTGTCTACCATGCCTGGCTAATTATTTATTTATTGTAGGGATGAGGTCTTGCCAAGTTGCCCAGGCGGGTCTCGAGGGATTACAGGCTGAGCCACCGAGCCTAGCTAAGAGTGAGTTCTTAACAGGGTGTAAAAAATATATCTTATGAGCCGGGCTCGGTGGCTCAGCCTGTAATCCCTCGAGACCCGCCTGGGCAACTTGGTGAGACCTCATCTCTACAATAAATCAAAAAATCAGCCGGGCGTGGTAGCGCATGCCTGTAATTCCGGCTACTTGGAAGGCTGAGATGGAAGGATCGCTGGAGCCCAGCAGGTCGAGGCTGCGGTGGCCAGGAGCGGCCACTGCACTCCAGTCTGGGCGACAGAGTGAGACTCCAACTCAAAAAAAAAAAAAAGTCTTATGGTGCATTCCATAGGCTATTTCTTCTTGGATTATAGTATTTATTGTCAAACAGATCATCTAAGTTCAGATACAAATATAAATAAATCAGACAGATATACTTATTTCCTGCTCCCACTATTCTGTTCCAGATTAGTTAGCAAACCAGATTTCATCCTTCTGTAAAGGGAACCACACGAAGGTACAGATGATGGAGAGTCTTAGTCTGACTCTACCACATGTGGATAAAGAATGGACGAAAAGGCAACAACAGGTGCTAGGGAGTTTTTGTTTTGTTTTCAGAGGAGGAAAAGAGTTGGGAAGGTAAGAGTAGCAGAAGGACGGATAATAGAGTAATATTCAGTCATTTTTCTGAAAGAATACATACCCCACAGGGCAATAATTACAATGCATTGTGAGTACAAAAATAGAGGTTTGTAAAAAGTGTCATAGAGGCATGGTATGATGAGTTTTATAAGTATGGAAAGGATATTAAGAAAGATTTTACGCCGGGCTCGGTGGCTCAGCCTGTAATCCCGCGCCTTTGGGAGGCTGAGGTGAGTGGATTGCCTGAGCCCGCAGGTTCGAGACCCGCCCTGGGCAACTTGGCAAGACCTCATCTCTACAATAAATCAAAAAATTAGCCGGGCATGGTAGCGCGCGCCTGTAGTTCCAGCTCCTCGGAAGGCTGAGGTGGAAGGATTGCCAGAGCCCAGCAGGTCGAGGCTACAGTGGCCAGGAGTGGCCACTGCACTCCAGTCTGGGCGACAGAGTGAGACTCCAACTCAGGAAAAAAAAAAAAAAAAAAAAGAGACAAGGGTACACAGGATGGAGAGTAGGAAGAAAGGCTAAGATGTTACAAGATGGAATGGGAAGAACTGAATGACTGATTGTAAATAGAAGGGAGAAGAAGAGGAGTCGAAGGTAATTCTGAGGCTTCCAAAATAGTGATTATGTACTTAACATTAACCAAGGTAAGAAAGGGTATGTGTGGTATGTGTGTGTGTGTGTATGTGCTCACGTCTGAAATGATAGATGAGAAAATGGGAAGTTTGAAACGCAAGTAGCATAATTAAGTGGAAATGTCCCACAGACAGGTGGAAACATGCCCAAGAGAACAGAAGTGAAGGAAAGGCATGATAGATTTGAGAGGCATCAGTCTATGAAGTAATGGCCAGTGCTGATATTCTCCAGAAAGACAGTGAAAAAAAAAGTCAGGATAGAACTTTGCTGAACCAACATCATTTTAGGAGCAAGTGTTAGAAAAGCTGGGAAAGAAGATTGAGGAAGGTATTGAGAGACAGGAGAATGCTCTTGCAGAGGTCACAGCAGACTTTTAAGAAGCAAGGGTTACTCGAGTAAAAAGCTGAAACTGTCATCTAAGATAGGCTAAAAAGTATCTGCTAAATTTGAAGACCTGAAGGTAGCCAGCAATTTTGGGAAGTATAGTTTTAGTGGAATTATGGGAATAAATACCACATTATGGACTGAGAAATGAACAAAAACAGAAGCAGACTGTCCTAGGAAAGAAAGAAACTATACTTTTCAACCCTTTCTAGGAAACATAACAGACTATTTTAAGCAGGAGGTTCCTATGTTTTTAAGGTCTTTTAAAAAAGGAATAAAAGAAGCTATGAAATCAATGCCAGTCATATTCTCTGAAAAGATGTACCATCAGAGATCGTTTGATCTCAGCAGTGTTATTTTCCAAATATTTCAATCATTTTGGATGTGTTAGGCAACTTGTTATTTCACTGTCATTCTCATTTCAAATGTGCTATCAATTTTTAAGTTACTAACTCTAATACGTTCTTATTTCAGTAAAATATGAGAACTAGGTTTGGGAAAGTACCAATCCCATGAATCCCTGACTGGAGTGGTCAGGAATCAGAAGGGAGTGGTCAAAGGCATCACATGCCTTCCTGATGACAAGTTGCATAAAGACTGAAAAAAAAAAGGCTCTTTTGTACCATAAGTGAATCGTCTGTGCTCCTAGTTAAAGCCAATAATCCTTCCATTTAAACTCTGGTTCCTGTACCCTCTTGCCTACTCAAGGACAGGTTTTCAGGAATTCTGCTCTCTCTGGCAACACCAATTCTTTCCTCTCTACAGGATCAACCTAATCAGCATATAAGCATGATATTAGTTCTCTTATCCTAAAATAAAACAAAATGACACACAAAAAATAAAAACCATGTACTCAATCCTACTTCTAGTTAACTAGGCCCTCATTTTCCTCTTTTCCTTTATAGCAAAACTCCTGGAAATAACTTATTTATACTTATTGACTTCAATTTTTCCCTTCCCATTCTCTCTTAAACCCACTCCAAAGCAGACACATGACCTCCATGCTAATTCCAATGTCATTTCTCAGCCCTCATCTTACCTGATGTAGCAGAAGCATCTGACATAGTCGATCTTTTCCCCTCCTTTGAAATGCCTTTTTTACTTGGTTTCCAGGACCCCTCACTGCTCTGGGTTTTCTGCTACCTTTGAAGCGACTCACTTTAGTCTCTGTTGACTCTTTTCTGCCTGACTTCTAAATGCTGGAGTATCTCTTCCATCTACACCAGACTCATTTCTTTGGTGATCTCACCCAGTCTCATGGCTTTAAACATTAGCTATATGCTGATAACTCCCAACTTTCTCTTTCTAGTCTAAGTCTCCTTGAACAGCAGAACTTGATATCAAATTGCCTATCTGACATCTCCGCTTAGATATCCAGTAAGCATCTCCCATTAAAATTTCCAAAGCTGAGCTCCTATAATTCCTTCCCATACTGTTCAGCTTCCCCACCTAAGTTAATGGCAACTCTATCCTTCTAGCTGCTTAGGCGAAAACTTTGGAGTTGTCTTTGACAGTTTTTCTCTCCTTTCTTACACTACCCATCTGGTCTTTCAGGCAAATGGGGTACACCCTCAAAATGTAATCAGAATTCTATGCTTCTCATGACCCTCCCATTCCCCTTCCTTATCTTTGAAACACCCTCCATAGAGGTTTTTGCTCCCACTACTCCAACAAAACTACTCTTTTTTTTTTTAAGTTGGAGTCTCACTCTGTCGCCCAGACTGGAGTGCAGTGGCCGCTTCCAGCCACCGTAGCCTCGACCTGCTGGGCTCCGGTGATCCTTCTACCTCAGCCTTCCAAGTAGCTGGAATTACAGGCATGCACTACCACGCCTGGCTGATTTTTTGATTTATTGTAGAGATGAGGTCTCGCTGCCCAGGCGAGTCTCAAACCCACGGGCTCAGGCAATCCACTCACCTCAGCCTCCCAAAGGCATAGGATTACAGGCTGAGCCACCGAGCCCAGCTAAAACTACTCTTGTCCAAGTCACCAGTGATGTTCCTCAGGTCACCATTGAGCTCCTGAATTACTTCAAGAGCCCTAACTGGTCTCCTTGTTCAAGGTCATGCTCCCTTCACTCTGCCCTTGACACAACAGTCAGAAGGGCCTGATTTAAACACAAGTCGACAATATTCTGCTCGAAACCTTCCTGTGTATTCCCATTTTGTACTGAGAGTAAAAGTTAAAGGGTTTATTGACCTTTAAAGTCCTATATGATCTAGTCTCTTATTACTCAAAGGGTGGGCCTCGTACCAGCAGCACTGATGTTATCTGGGAGCTTGTTAGAAATGTAGACTTAGCCGGGCTCGGTGGCTTGGCCTGTAATCCTGTGCTTTGGGAGGCTGAGGTGAGTAGATTACCTGAGCCCGTGGGTTCGAGACCTGTCTGGGCACTTGACTTGGTGAGACCTCATCTCTACAAAAAATCAAAAAAAATGTTTTTTTTTTTGAGTTGGAGTCTCA